ATTCAACTACTCCGTAAAGAGAACATTGACAGCCTATGAATTGGTTTGAATGAATTACTTGGCTTGCGAAAACCCAATAATTCAACGTGTACAACTATTCAATTATCCATTATCTGATCACATTGAATAATGAGAAGCGAGATAGCAATGTAGAATTGGGAAGTACTCCTTTTGATGAATATACGAAGCGACTTGCAGAGCTTCTTCATTGCATATGTCCGGTACCGAAAATACTCTTGATTTTAGTCTAATCTGCAAATAGATACATAAGAGTGCTTCTGAAAATCGGCGCTCTCTGTATGACTGCATTTCTCTGACCACCATCATCTCACCTCTCCTCATTCATGCCTTTATTACTTCACTTTATTCTTACGCCCCCCCATGATTTATACCAGTGATTGGGTTGCACGGAGTATACCGAGTAGAATTCAGCTACGAAAGAGGGATTGTTACGAAGAGAAATATGTATATGGCTGAACCCTAATTGTCCAATTCGCTATGAAACACCGATGCACTCGAAGATAAGCAAACACCTCTAATTGATTGATGAAGGTAGACGACGATGCCAGCGACGACGACAGCTTTTCGAGCATCATCCATCAAATATCCGACCTGCCTTTTTGTGATTTTCGGGAAGAGTAGCCAAATGCAGCGGTCTCCATAGAAATCTACAATTAGTTTGGCGCCGTGCTGCATCTATGTCTATGCTACCCAAGCGAACAAGGTTGAACCAATTTACATAGGATAGCCGTTGAGCCGTTAAGAGACAAGACTCAAAGGTCCCTGGAATTGGAGTAGATCCGTAGCTCGTCCTATTTTGATTGATAGCCAATCCCCGGGATGCTGTAAAAAGAATTCATGTTACGTTCTATCCTAACTCGTTAGATTGTGCAGTAGCACTGATGAAGCGACGAGGTAAGGAGTGAAAAGTAAACAGGCATTGAGTAGTATAGATTGGTAACAGTCATTTGCAAAAGAAAAGAAGAGATCTTTTTTAAATAGAAACATTCAAGGCAGTTGGTTGGTTGGGTTGGTTAATTAGTTGAAGGAATGCCCGGTAGTTTCTTGGATCTCCATTGCACTCTCTCGACCTCTTGAGCCTCTCTACTCTCTATTCTGTCTGTAGGTACTCATACATTCGATTCCATTCCCAGACCTACCTTGGTAAATCCAATCGGTCTAGTCCGGTCACAATACTTTTTTCAATCCTCATCGCTCTCGTCCGTTGTTTGTTTGTTTGTTCCTTTTCGGCTACCAATTATGACAATGCTCATGATAATACTTTATTATTGATCTACTCCATATATATATATATATATGTAACCTTCTCTCCCTGTCTCACTCGCTCGCTTCCTCCTTGCTCTCTGGCCCCCCTCTCCCTCCAAAGAAGATCCAACTCTCTTTTACAAGGATTAAATATAAACTCTTGTCGTACGCGCATCGACCCCAATATTGTAATCCCTTGCAGCTTTTAACGTGTACGCGGGCACGGCGGGCTTTTCCATCCAGTCCCATTTCGATTTAAGGGAACCAAATCTTCCCTTTAAAACATTCTTTTATCACCATTACCATCTCTTCTTCCACCAGCAGTTCATTCCGTTGTTATTGTTAAAGAAGAAGAAAGCACACCACTATTGTTTGTGCTTGTTGTTATCAACAGCTACCTACTTGTTATTTGATTCTTATTATTCATATATTATACCGACTTTTATACATCTTCCGATTAAAAGAAGAATCCTCTCCGATTGTTTCAAATATTACTATACAAAGGATTATTAAATATCCTTTTCCCCTCTTTCCGCCAAATCCTCCCAAGAACCATACCCTCAATTTACTATTTTATCGACCCACACTTCGTGACGATAAGCTTTGAAACGGAAACGAGTCTCGGTTTGAATACCCGCAGATTATTACGAGCACTTACCCAACATTGGAAACTGGAACTGGAAGTTGGAACAAATTGCCTTGCCATCCTTACGAGAGTTGTCACAAAAATCCTTATACGCAGCAAATCTTTCTCTACCTGTTATACATTCAATTTATCCAACATCCAACCTAGCCAACTTTTCAAGAATTGGGATCAGTCACAAGACGGACCTCGGACCCATTTCAACCATATAAAAGCATTTCCTCGTTTGCAGCCACGGTCTCTTGCAGCGGTGGACTGCATGCCGATGCAAGATCAGTACAATAACATAAAGAACACCGGCAACGGTGTGACCCGAGATTCGGTACTTAAGACAACGGCAACGACTTCGAATCCTGCCGTATCCGTTTTCTTTTTACGCCGCAACCTTTCGACTATTCTGAGTGTAATATGAGTAGACAATACGAAGATCACACCACCGATTCGAAGACCACGAGCAATCTCCCCCTCAACCCATTACCCAACATGTCTTCTCCAGCTCCATTATTACGCCCTCCGATTCCAGGTAGTCGAAATGGCGGCGCAAGGACACCAAGGCTGGGCCTGGCCATACCACCTTCTCCTAATGCTAAGCCCGTCAATGCTCCTGCAACAAAAGGTCTCACACTTCAAATGCCTGGCTCGATGCCTGCGCGACCGGCACTACCTCGATTACAACTAGCCACTCCTATGGGAAGTAATGCTACACCATATGAACAATCTGGAAGGGGTGCAGTTGCACCCGGACAATCTGCAAGTGGGGGAAGCGAAAGTAGTGCGGCACATTCAAGATCAGGTAGCTTTGGACCGATGGATGGGAAAGGAAGTGGTCCAACATCTGCAGGTTCCCAGTATTCTGCATTCTCATTAGCATCGCAATATGGTTTGAGCAAGCCGCAAGGTACACCCGACCCGTCATCAGCTGTAGGCTCATTATACTCGGAAAGGAGCGAGGGAGGTGTTGGCATGGAGCGCGATGGTAGCATGAATGGACTTGAAGCATTCGACAAGCTCAGCTTAGAGAAAGGGAGAACATTAGATGTTGAAGATTTAGATGATGATGGATGGCGGATAGCAAGTATGGAAAAGAGGATTGAGGAACTCGGAAGCTTGGGAGAGGGAGCAGGAGGTGCAGTAACTCGATGTATGCTGAAGGGTGGAAAGACTGTCTTCGCGTTAAAGGTAATTCGCTGTGCCTCACAATATCCTCTACGCCGCTTACTGACTTTCTTAGATTATAACCACAAATCCCGATCCTGATGTCAAAAAACAAATCGTCCGTGAATTAGGTTTCAACAAGGGTTGTGCTAACGAACACATCTGCCGTTATTACGGAGCTTTCGTAGAACCATCGACGGCTACCATTTCCATTGCTATGGAATTTTGCGAAGGCGGTTCTCTCGACTCAATCTATCGTGAAGTAAAGAAACTTGGTGGTCGCACTGGTGAGAAGGTCCTCGGAAAGGTTGCCGAAGGTGTCCTAAACGGTTTGACATACCTACATGGGAAGAAGATCATTCACCGAGATATCAAACCTTCCAATATTCTCCTGTGTCGCGATGGTCAAGTAAAATTATGCGATTTCGGTGTAAGTGGTGAGTTCGGTACAAAGGGTGACGCAAATACCTTCATTGGTACATCTTACTACATGGCGCCTGAACGTATTACTGGTCAATCATACACCATCACTTCCGATGTCTGGTCAACTGGTGTGACACTTTTGGAAGTAGCCCAACATCGCTTCCCATTCCCAGCAGATGGATCAGAAATGCAACCTCGTGCTGGATTGATCGACCTTCTAACATACATCGTTCGACAACCTATTCCAAAATTGAAGGACGAGCCCGATGCCGGCATCAAATGGAGTGACAGCTTCAAATACTTTATCGAGTGTTGGTATGTTCAGCCCTAGTTCATTTGAGTGAAGAAAGTCATACTAACTTCAAATTAGTCTCGAGAAAGACCCCACTCGTCGTGCCTCACCTTGGCGAATGTTAGAACATCCATGGATGGTCGAGATGCGAGGTAAACGTGTGAACATGGCACACTTCTTAGCCACCGTATGGGGCTGGTGATCTAACTTCACGAATCATTCGACGTCGTTATTATCGCAAAGTCTATCCGATATCAGAGGATGGAATAGCAAACCCAATGTAGACCAATTCTACTTGGCGACGAGAAAAAAAGCTAAAGCACACCATGATGATACATTACATACAACGACCTTGAGCCCTGACGATACGAGACGATTACGCTATTACATGAAATTCTACCAGATATGAGAAAGATCTACTCATTAGTTTTATCATCATACCATCTACCTATATTTTCCTTTTGTATCAACCACATCTCTTCACCTCGCAATCCACAATCATCTGCATTTACCGGCGTCGCCATGTTTTTCTTCCTCTTGAATCGGGTTCGGCGAAGCGGCTTCTTTTTGGGTATAGGAGAAATGGTTTTTGGAAGCATCAAGAGTGAGCGAAACTGAGCGGTTGAAGGGGATGCAACTTGCGTATGTGAATGAGTAGCGACTGTTGAAGGCCTCTCGTTTCAATTGTACTACTTATTACACATTCTTAGCTATTTACCTACCTACCAATCTAAGTCTACATTTATCTATATCTGAATCTCTCATTGCATGACATCATGTGCTTGGATTTTATCATGGCAATCCCGTAGTTGAAAAGTGGAAACTTGGCTGAGTGATCTAGTTATAATCGAATTATTAACTTCTCATTAGGTCTCGATCTTGTATACCTGAAATTTGGCACAATATTCAAGGCTCATGGCTCATCTATGAAAAAATGGGCGCATAATGACAACCCCCCCCCCCGCCCCCCCACCCAATCTTGTTAATGCCATGGTTCTTCGGGACCAGAAAGAGCCTCGCTAGCAAGATCATCCCCCCCCTCCTCCTCTTACCGCTTTTGATACCATGTTCTAGCTTCAATATAAAAACAATTTTAACATCATAGTACATCAACAACAACAACCTAGATTATGATTCACTGTACATCACCTTGCTGGCAATTTCATCACCACCATCAAAATCATTTTTGTAGACATCTTGGTATCATATCAAGGGCACGGAATGCGCCTTCGAAGATTTGCTCTGTGGTGGTGCATTCGTAAGTCTCAACAAAAGAAGCCTTATTTTCAGAACCAAGCCGAGTGTTATCATGTATTAATCCTCCATATATGGCGAATGAAATCAGTCCTTAATCGACACTGCTCGATGTGTAGATCCATTACTCCACTATGATTGGCTGGCTTCAAAAATGCCGAGGTTGAATAATCCTTGAACACATCCGAATTAGAGGGGTCTACAACCGAGCAGACGGAGATATGAACCTCACTATCAGCAAGAGATATACACCACATCATACAAATTCAATTACCAATTCATCATTTCACAAATAGATCTGATAGCAATCATCTTTCCCAAGGAGGGAAAAGCAGATAGAGTGAGCGTCGATCTCCCCCAACATATGCTCTGGAGACAACTAACCCCTATACCTCACTAGGTGGCAGAACTCCTGGATGAAATCTCTACACATATCAAGGCAACTGAGCCTGGGACATTGAAGTATGAGATTAAGAAAGAAGTCAACAAAAAGACGGGTGCTGTAGAAATCATTATGTTTGAGAGGTGAGTTTGATATTGTTGACGTCATCTACTACACGTGGATCTGAAACTGATGCATAACTTTATAGCTATAAAGATAGGACTGCAATCGCAGCCCATGGATCATCGGAAGAATTCAAAGCTTTTGGCAAGAAGTTGAAGGATGAGGATCTGATTGCCAAGCCCATGGAATTGAAGTTTTTGAAGCATGTTGGGGGATTCTCGTCGAGGTTGTGAATGCGAAGGGTTGCAATATGAGAGACTTTAGTAATCGGATCTAAACTCTCGGATCTAGATTCTACAAGGGACATAGATACAATACAACCATTACAAACAATTGGTTGATGGATTCAATCGATGCACGTCTAAGATGTGAGGTTCACACGTGACAGAGAAGTACCTCGTCATTGACTCTTCAAGATACATTTGGACGAGAATGTAAAGCAAGAGAATATATCACTTTTGGTCTCATCATTTTCTTAGGTGCCATAAGCTTTTATGCTACATTCAAATACGATTTTTGTCTACCATTGATCTCCAAAATAAATGGTGTGTTGAGAAATATAAGATATTACCGATCTACTTCGATCTAGCCACTAGTCGTGACTTCTCTTTTCATTTTCATCACCACATTCTTCAAAACCGGAAAACCTTAATCGGCAGGCCCTTTCAAACTCACCTCTTTCAATGGATGGGTTTGTTTCTCTCATAAATCACACTCATTGAATCTTTCTTCTTTCTTCTTCCTCTACCAACTCATCAAATCTCGCAATCATGGAGCATGAATGTGAGCAACAACATTTCACGCCCTTGGTCTTTACCTCTCACACGGGAAAGTTATTCCAAGTGGAGATTGATGATATTGCACAATTGTCGCCGAAGCACGGCAGATCTAACAGTGTGGTATCAATCATTGAGCTGAGAGCTTCATCTCCATCCCCGAAAATATCCGCCCTGGGAGGGTTTGATGGTCATGGACCCGATCCACAACTTCCAAAGTATGTTCTCCGCCCGAAAGTTCAACTGGAAGTTATGATGGCAAGATCAAATCATAGTTGATTCACGCAGACACGGTTACGGATGGACGGTGTACTTGATCCAGAACACACCATGCTGACAAGAATCTCTAGAGCCCCGCCTTTACACCAGCGGAAACGTTCCTCGTGCGGAGGCTCTCCTCTTATTTCCTTCACGACTTCTACACAGTCGTGTGAGAAAATGGAATCCTCGGGCATGAAATCATCGCCATCTCGCAAGAAGCAACCGGAAAATTCCTTGTGTGATGATTTCCATGAGGGTGAGGAGTTCGATGTCTGCAAAGCTTACATGGTTTACAATGAATACGGTGAGCTGGTTGATGCCCATAGCCATCTTCAAACCAAAAACACCCAAGATTTGTCAGTTACGGAAATATTGAGATTGATTAAAAAAGCATATCACCATGATGTTAGTTCTTCCCATCATCCTTGAATGTTGTGAGACTTGCACTTCGCATTGCTATAGGAAGCTTGGAACTTCATGCTGACTTAACATTCAATAGTTCAGAGCGAGAATGAACGACATCGAACAGATCAGGGGTCAAAGCTCATTGAGCTCAGAAAAGGACAACTTAACAACTGAGGAAAAGCCACTTTCATATTGGGAATACAACCCGAGCTCGTCGACGAAATCTACGCCGGTCAGTGGAGAGCTGCAATCTCGATCTGTTCCTGTTTACCAAGGACCGCCTCGGGTTTTGGAGGTATGTCTTCTCATCTGTACATTGGCATCGTACTAAATAAGATAGATTGGGTGTAGTGATGGCAGCTGGTGTTTCAAAGTTAAGGAAGACCAACCAGATTGGACTGTGGAGGGAATCGATGAAACGGACCACTGGTCTTGTGTGCAAAGAGACGTTCAGCTTGAGTATGATGACTGTCTTCGTTTGAAATCAACGTGCTAATTAATCCATAGGGATTTTATTGTTCCGACTCCCGAAATGGACGTGTCCGATTATTTTAGCCGTGTAAATTCTTCACAGACCCAAACCGCCCCTGCCTTCAACGTTCGAAACCTCAATTGCCTATTGGCGCACGTAGATCCTATTCCACATAATCTATACTCTTTTATCCGTGGGAGAGATGTCTTCGACAGAGTTGAGAGTTACAAGAGCTTTTTGGATGATGTTCGCTTGTGAGTGAGTCCCTAAGATTTACTACCTACTACGACTAACACCGAAAAGAATTCTACAGCCTGGTGGAGTTGTGGAATTTTTGGAAGTTGACCCTAGACCGAGATCAAAGTTAGCAGGTCATACTGGTGTGAATCGTGAAGAATATCACCAGAGCGCACCCCAAACTGACTGGACTGATAATATTGCCGATCGCCTTAAGCGACCATCTTACGATAGCGAACTTTCAGATACAGTACCCGGTTGGATGGAGAGAGTCATGGAACGCCATAAAGCAATATTGCGTCCACGTGATGGAATTCCTGCCGTTAATCTAAAGTCTTGGCTAGAAGGGGCGGGGTAAGCTAATGAATAGGCACTCTGTCTCATCGTAGAAGAAGCTAACGGTGCACAGATTCTGGGATGTCAAAGAGATTGTTCATCGGCTGGCTGTAGGAGGATCTACGACTACCGGTCAGCGTCTAAAGGACTTCATCCTATACCAGATTGAGCTCGAGAACGATATACCTCAGGTATTCTATTCATAACCATTTTGAACCTCTCGGCTAACTAGATGTAGCTTCGCGAAAGCTTGTCGCCGGTCGAGATTGAGGAGATTAAGAGCGGCAATCACTACCTCACCTTACACATCGTAACGGCACGTAAGCCGCGCTGCCCCCGAGCTGGTGATCTTCTCATGAATGGCACCAGAGAGGAAATGACGCATATGAAATATGATCAGATGGCCAGAGTCAATGAATTGCCAGTGAAGAATCAAGCAGGATGGAAAAGGTTATCCCAGTACAAAAATAGCCTTTTATCTAACACCTGCTAATTTGTTCGCGTCTCGATAGATTCGATCTCGGTCGCGTTTCCAAAATGATGACATCATTCGATGAACATCACCCTGGAAACATCTCACTCTCAGCACCACTCTCTCAATTAAGAGATGGGGCTTGATGTAAGTCAGAGTGAGGCGGTATTATGATGAAGTCAGGAGAAAAGATAGAGCTTGCAGGATGACATGGCTAGAGTGAGTGTATGATTTATCTCAATGGCTAGATTATATAAACTATGAGCATTATTCCGGGGGGTGTTTGCATCCATGATATACAATTGCAATCGGAAATTTGCAAACTATAGCTCTTGATAGGTAGCCATTCAATGAAAGGATTACTGGCTTCGATTTAAGGTCAGTGACCAGCCATATACTCCTTTGAATGTAGTTCAATTGCCGATTTTCTTTTGGTACATAAATTGGAATTCTATGGAAAAGATACACAAACCCAAACGAGACAGAATAGTAACAACTTAGGAGTTTTCGGAGACCGGATCAAGTCCCTGCATCTGAACGACATTAGGAATCGACAACGCAGGCTTCCCCAATATATAGGGAATTTGCCGTTCTCATTCTGAAAGAATTTGCTTGACAGCAATAAGGAGCTTGCCGCTTAAGCGAATGGTCTACGCTGTGTTTGGTAACAAAGCATCACGACTTTCGTGAATTACATCAGGAAAGCTTAGCATAACAACAAGATATTGTTATTTTCTTGGACGGGAGAGAAACTACCAGGCATTATCCGGCAAAGCAGATGGCATATAATCGACGCTCTACGATTGATGTTTGATGTATCTGTGGACCATAGTCGAAATTAACCTCTAAATGCAATGAGGGCCCTCGGAAACTCAGAAAATATTCTATCCCGGTGTACCGAGGGATTAAAATTCCAATTTCTAATTGATTACCAGGATAATGATCTACGGTGGGCAACTGCAGCTCCCAACAAATTTGAACAGTAACGATGATAGTCCTCTTCATAAATAGAAAGGTAGAAACTGTGGACTGACAATGAAAAAGACGCAACAAAGAAACAAAGATATGCCACGTGGAATCTAGCGGAGAAATTGACGGAGATGCCCACGTAAAGACGTAACCATCATGATATCAAGTATTTTGTCATTAGTTTCAACCTGTTGTTGCTTGTTCTGTTGAGATGAGCATGTGGAGATATCCTTCTGACAAAAAGGGAAGGGAATTCTACTTGGAATTTCCTTTGGAAATCTGTATTTCAACCTTTCAAGACATCGGATTTTGATATTTTACGTGTATACTACGTACAAAGAAGAGGTGTGAATATAAACTGAGAGGGATCATCCTCTGGACCTTGCATTGAACGTATAAGTGTTCTGTCTGCTCATAAGATTATCATTCAGCTGAGGAAAAGATTGAGTTATACATGTACTTTGATGCTAATCTCTTCATTTGGTCTTTTCTTTCAATATCCTAGCAACACAAATATTTAATAATCTATCAACAAATTTTGGAAAGAAACATGTTTATTCAATGGCGTTTCAAATGTGGAAGAAAATGTGAACCCCGGCATTGTGTCCGAGAATATTCCCAATTGAACGTCATATCAACTTGACTTGTCACGCGGGGTGAAATTTGAATCACACTGACACAATCTCAAGAGGAAGTGACTGTCTTCTGAAGCTGCCTATCATGGATTCACATACCATTCATTCGCCATTTCTGAGAAGTCGCGATCATGCAGGTTCCATCGAAACATTTGCCTGTCGCAAGGACTCCAGAATAGACTTGATCGATATTTGTCAATCCTGCAACGCTTTCCATGTGTTATCCGAGGAGTGTGGAAACATACCAATTAAGATGAGTGAAGCCCTCTCAGATTACACGGTGCCCACGTTGCCGAAGGTACCGATATATCTAGACATGATACAGGAAATCGACACCGAAAACTCGATGACGGTGATGCAGACCTTGGCTTTCGATGGCCTTGATGGTACTCGGGAAAGAGATGATGAAACTTATGGTCTTGTTCAGCTTTCGAAGTCAGGAAAGGAGATTTCATCGAGACAAGTTCCAGCAGGAATTCATATGTGTAAGATAAAAAATACAGAAATATTTTTCAACTTTTAGGTGGAATATCGTGCTGATATTATGGTAGCTCCGCTCCATCAATTCGTAACCTCTCCTTTCAATTTGATGCCATTATCTCCAACATATTCGGATTCAGGCCAGTCTCTTTTGTGCGGTGTTTCGAAAATATCAGTGTTGTCGAATCCT